ATATTCTTTCTTTTTTCTGTTTTAATCTCTGATTTCTAGCTCCATCTGGCCTTGTTCTATTTGGCTCTGACACCATCCTGGTTGGGCTGCTGCCATCAGCGCCTCTGATTATAGACAATAAATTTGGGTCCGTTTTTTAGTGCTTAGTCTGGTTATTTTAGCCTTTTCTGTTACTAACTGTATGTGTACTCTTTTATCCCTTTAGGTAAAAAAATTATTCAAAGCGTCTTTACTTAGCGGTGTCTTACCTAGACAGAGCCACCAGTAGAGCTAGTTTACAATGACCTTCTCTAACATACCAATTATTTATGGATCAGTTCTTCTTGTTCCTTTTGTATTTTTTCTTCTTAAACCCCCTGTCAGGCCTGGCAGAAGGCCTCTCACACTGTGGCTGCTACTGCTGGAGGTTTCTTCCTGTTAAAATTAAGTTTTTCCTCTTCTGCTTCACTTTATGCACGCTATGTGTTAGGAACTGCTGTAGAGTCAACAACAAAATGCAAACGCGTCTGCTGTCACCACATTTGCATCCAGAAGAAGCAAGTCCTGCAAAGTAAGTTATTTGATGCAATGATGTATGCTCTGGTTAATTGTCTTTGTAAAGGATATTAAGATGACATGTAATTGGTGCCATACAAATACATTTAATTGAATTGCAACACTATCATTATTCAGAGAAGCGGCCAATGGGAATTCTGGAAGAGCTCTTTTAATGTGTTTATGTATTCCATGTAGGTAACATCGCATTAAAGGAAGAAGGTCATCTTGTCACCAAGACCATAGTTCCAGGGAATTGGATTCATCTTTACTGATTTTCCAAAAAATTATTGCCAAAGTTTTCTTTCTCCAGATTTTCAAGTTAAGTGTTTTATGAATTATTATTATTTGTTTTTATCCTAACAAAAAGAATCAGGATATTTATGATACTAAGGTGATAAAATTTGATAAAGATTAAGAGGTAGAAATACTTTTATAAAACATAGTCCTTATAAAGACGCCAACACTTATATATATTTATATTTAATAGATATAAGTGAATATAATTTAACATTACTAATCTCACACTGGAAAAAAAAAAATACCTCTGCATTTGACCCATCCCCTTGGGGAAGACTGGGCTGCTTCTCTGCAGCCCCCAGGTAGCAGTGTGGGGTTAAGGGCCTTGCTCAAGGACCCAGAGTGGCAGTCCGTGGGAGAGGGGCTTGAATTCAGAACCTCTGGGGGCCAAGCGCAATGCTTTTTCCACTAGGTCGCAACTCCCCCCTCCCTTTTTTTATAACGACATATATTTAACGTTAATTAGTTGTAGCATTGTTAAACTGCCTAATTTATAATTTCATACGACCCCCATCAGAAAGGTGATTATGCCAATACAATAGGTAGGCAGTCTGCAGATAGCTAATAAGATCTCGAGCTTCAAAATTGCTTGTAGAGACTGAGAACACCTGCAAAGCTTTCAATTACCTTTCATCGCAGGCAGATTCAAGTAATGCATGTTTTGACACCTTAGCTAATGTAAATTAATGAGTGCTGACGCAGACATAGCTTGGAGGCAGGCTTTGGGATGTGAGGTGTGGCAATGGATAGAAATTTTGAGGTTTAGCCCATGTCTAAGTGAGAGAGTTCCAATAGGAATATGTCTTATTTAAAAGGTTGAATTTGCTTTCCTCTTCCTTCATTATATGTGATATGACAAGAATGTGTGATTTTATTTTTCAGGGATATTATCACAAATTTAAATAAATGTTTTCAATTTATTCTTTTGGCTTTCCTTTCAAAATGAATATTTCTTTAAACAGACATCTTCTAACCCTACAGTATAAGCTAATCCATCAGCCTTCATCACGATGATAAGGCAAGCAGTGACAGTGTCGGGCTGAAACTATGCTTTAGGTGTAAGTAAGGTGCATGCTTTTTCTTACAAAAAAGGCAAAGAGGAAACTGGAACACAACAGTCTGAATAGCAGACAAACAGACACTGATAGGACAATGTCCTCAACCCACAGACAAACACCAGCATCAATCAAATCCAATGAAATGGAAGCCTACTTCGACTAAAACCTATCAAAGGCCTGTGAGTCCCTGAGCCACTCTACTCATCCTCCGACAAAGGCACTTAATCCAGCCACTTTGACCTCTCACATTATTAAAGGCCCCAGTGACCTTAATCCAATCGAAATGATTTACTAAAGCCCAGTAGTGGCCTTCTCTTTCCAGTCAGTACCCCTGCAATTTAGAGCTGGGAGGGGAGGGCAATGAGAATGATGTGGTAGCATTTTGCACCACAATGGGACCATGATTGAGAACCTCTATCGTTAGCCATCTACTTGAGTTCAAGCCTTTTCTATCAACTGGCTCAAGAGTTTATTAAATACAAATGCCATAAATCAAATTTGCATCATTCTTCAGTAAAACAACTACCCAGTTTAGATCTGCAACCCTCAACCAAATATAACATAATCGAGTCAAAATTTCAAAGCCAGTTTCAGAAGAGAAATGACAGCGAAATGACAGAGAAAAAGACACATTCTTTGGTAAATCCAGAAAACTAAAAAGCAAGTTTGAAATTACATTGGAAATGTTGCTAAGTGATAAAAAATAAATAAAAAAAAACATGTCAGGTAGCTTATCAGCAGATGCGGTCTTGGTTAAGTTTAATGAAGAAAGAAACAGTCGCTTACTGGAAAATAAGCCTTGTGCAATAACATTCAGCAAAGCTCAACCCCTTTGGGCATGGATGAAAAAAAGTGTTCAGGAATTTATTACATTTTGGTATGCCATAATTATTATTCCACGTCAGCGAGTATCTTATATTGCTGATTGTCTAAGTATAAGTCAAGCATAAGTACATGCTGTCAAAAGTGATTATCAAAAGGTGTTTGCAGATTTGTGTGCTTTCATTTGCTAAAAGCAATGCTACTGTTTCTTTTTAATGTTTAGATTTAAAAATGAAAAAAATAAAACCCGCTATGACCAAAAAAAAACTAAACATATTTATCTAAATATGCTTAATGTCTTTAATTTCAAGCACCTCATATTCTGTGAAGAATTTTTAATACTATTAAAAGCCATGTGTGAAACTATAAAAGAGTGATACATTGTGGTGGAACCATCATATTATAGACCTTTTTTAAAATATTTTTTATTAGGGGAAAGAAAATGGTAAGAGCTGATGGAAACTTGGATGAAGTATCTGTCAGTACCTGCACAAGACTTCAGACAAATGTGGGGGACTGCCAGCAGGAACATGGCTTGTAATTGGCCCAGCTGATTTAAAAATCTGTACGTGGGCTTAAGAACTGATGCTCACAGACATCATCCATCCGACTGGGTCTAAACTGAGCTATTTGCAAAGAAGAGTGGGAAATATTTCAAGTCAAGAGACTTTCTAATTAAATTTAAATGAAACGTGGTGCTGTGAAGGTTTCACACAGACGTGCTAAATATATATGCCAGGGAGACCCCAGAAATGTAAGCTGATATTTCAATTGTTTAAAAAATTATGCAACATTTACGTCCCACTTCCCAAATATGAACCAGTAGGCGTAAGAAAATCGTTTGAAAAAGGATGAAAAGCATTGTGAATTTTGGATCTACCTTGTAAAATGTTAAAGAATGGTTTAGCAAGACCTTATAAATGCAGTGCAATAGAGGTCTAGATAGGGAAGGCAAATCACAGGCCAGGTAAAGGCAGAAAATTAGCTATTGACAAAAATCCACATCAATAATCAGAAAAAAAAAAGAAAAATAGAATAAAGAGAACAGAAAATGAAACAATAAAGGCAGAAAAATGATCCAAGGCACAATGAGAAAGCTTGTAAAGAAGGATCAAAACATAACAAAAATACGACTTTGATACTCATTGTGCAAGAGTGACGGCAATTTGTTTTGTGGTTAGGCTACTGAAGGAAAAAAAAGAAATTTAGGGCTTTTTATGCTCTTAAAGTATGTCTTTGTTTTTGAAATGCCTTAGGGTTTGATGATTCCGAAAGCCTACTTTCATGACTACAAAAAGTCTTTGTATTCTGAAGTGAAACCTATATATTTTGAGGGAAATAAATAATTCTGTTTGGTTCAGATTCTTGTGTTCTAGGTTCCTTTTAAGAAAATACAACAGCTGCAGGGGATCCCCTCCAAAACATAACTCAGACAAGACAGAACTCACTAGCTTTAGGCCTGTTATGTACATCTTTTCATGCATACAGGCCCCTCAGAGCTTGCTCAGTCTTAAGACTATTTAAACAAGGATTTGAATCAACATAATGGATGATGCAGAAGGAGAATAAATCTTTTGTACAAAAAATATAAGACAAATAGAATAGGAACAATCGCTGAAAGCATTAATGATTCCAGAGACGCGTTTATTTTAATTTACTTTCCTTTTTTTAACTAAAGTGTTTTATATTTGTCTTGTAGATGGTCAAATATACTTAAAAAAAATAAAGGAACTGAAGTTAAACATCATAATTTATGTTTCAGCATACTCTGTTTAGTCTTACAGTCTTACTCATATAGTAATTAAACACAACAAAAAATATTATTTTGAAATGGAATTTTTCTCCTTTTTTTCAACTTTAAACCTTAGTGGTTTATTGATTGAAACAAGGTGTCTATGTTGGATTCAAAAAATAAGTTACATTCAAGTTTTTGGGGTTTTCCTGCACCTCATTGTGTAGTAAAATGTATGAGAGGTGTGAAACTCTTCAAAGATTTTCCTATTCAGGTTTACTATCCAATACCTGCTATGTAAATACAATTCTGACGAATTCAGAACTAGACTTAAAAGGATGAGTAGAATCACTATATGTCTTTGTGACCAATTGTTTTTTTCTCAAGTTTTGCGCACTGTGTGCTTTTAATGCCTTGGGTTTAACATATCCACCAAACCTAAACCCCAAAGTACAAACCTCAACCATGAAAGTGCAGTCATATGGTATGTATAAGACAGACAAATTGCATTGGAAGTACATTTATTTCTGATTCATAAAAAAATACAGCTTCACCTTTGTCCAAGACTGGCCCAAAGATAGCCAAATTGTCGTTGACCGTTGTGCAGTTCCAGCGCCGGCCTCTGAACTGATGTTGGCACTCTTGGATGCCGATCTTCACCCCCTCGGCTACGCTGGGCATGATTTCAACGTAGTTCCGGCAGAAGCGCAGCTGCTTGGGCACCAAACCTGGTATACTGCCACAAAGGATAGGTTGGGTACCTATTGATGAATACTGGTGGCCAACTGCTAGTGACCTATAAGCAGAGAGGAAATCACAATGTCAGTGCCTTTTATTAATTATATCTTCTTATTCTATTTGTCTGTATCGATGTCTCAGCACTGGAGTGGGAGGTAATTTTCCTTCTGCCGCAGTGTAATTTTTTGTCTGACTTTATCTGATTATGTGTGTTTATTTTTTGTATCAAATGCTACCATTACGTATCTATCCCTGATCCCTCCAACCACCCTCTCTAAAGACACCTGCCCTTTATGTGTATTGAAATTGCAGCCCTGCCACCGCATTGTTTCTGCTTAAGATGAAAGTCCGCAACGCATCCAGAGGTCTTCATAGACCTTAAGCTGACACTTGGAAAAACTACACCTTGTTATTAGCTGTCCGCACACTTAACAGGCCGTCAGCTTAGGGTAATAAGAGTGCAAAACCTACAATGAAACTTCAGAGAGTGTATTAAGGGCAACACAGACCGCCCTCCCACCCATAGTTTTTTCTCTTTGAGGAAGATGTTTTAAGAAACAAGTGCAAACTTGGCTAACTGATTACATCTCTCTGCCTTCACACCTTTATAATACTTTCTGTCTTTGTTTTATGCGTTGATTTATCTCTATTACAGAGTATTTGAAAAACTGAGGTGCCACAATACAATACAAAATTTAGATTTTTATCTTTTATTCAAGATTTAGATATAAGTAACTTGTATGCCTGATTGCACATTTGAACATTAATAAGATGCATACCGTCTTATGTATATATATATAACGTTTTGTTTGTGTTGTTATTCATCCATTACTAATCCACAGCATAACATTAAACAAATCAGGGGATTTTCCAAAATTATTATGTTGCCTTTTGTATGAAAATCTTTTAAAATAAATCTATAGATGTTAAAATTATGTATAATAATAAATTATATATAATATTTAGGGTGATAATAGGGAAGACTTTCAGCCTTACAGACTTGGAGCACATCATCAAAAGTAAATACTCAAAATATCAGTGAAAAAAAAACAAAAAACAAAAAAACAATCCACCATTATTATAATAAGGGTTTGCATACTGTAATGCTGTTTTATTATATAAAAGTAATTCCTAACAAAACCAAAATGTGGTGCTTTTTAAAGATACATTGTCTTTTGAGAGAGGCCTGTCTCGTTTTCTGTCAGGAAGAAAAACTTTGGGTTTTTAAATATCTTTAAAACCTAAATCTGTCCTTGGTATGAATCATTTTGAATAATTTAAATAAATGTACACTAATTTCTTAAAACAAAATCTGTACTTTTAAAGCCTTGTTCCCTTCTCTACCAATAAGTTTAAATAAAACGTAAGAATAGGTTCAGTTCATGTATATTGCTATAAATAAAGCTCATTCGGAAGTGTCTGCTTTCCCAGATAACTGAAAAAAATATTTTGACTTTTTCTTTTCAAATATTCATAGCAAGGTTTTTTTTACAAGTGGAAACTTTTAGTCCTTAGCAAATGTTGCTGCCTTTGGTGGTGCCAGTAGGTGCTTGCCCTGATAGGGAAAATCTGCTCCCTGGCTCCTGAGTTATATGGGCTTCCAAATAGTCATCGCTTACAGAAGCAGCTCCAAAGCAGATGAAGATGTGTTTTTCTTCTACTTTTCTTTTTATATTTTTGCTTACCTGCTTATTGTTTATGAACTAGAAACTGGTCAAAAGTTACATGTGTTTGAAACAGGCCTGCAGAAATCACAGATTTGGGTTTCTTCTCATATGAATACCAAGGTTTCTGATTTTAAGTAAACTCTGCAACCTTAAAAGACAATATAAATGGTTGTTCAGATTTGATTTTGATTTCTGTCTGACCTCCAGTCGGCCTCGGCAGCAGACTGCTCACACTGAGCCTGCTTGTTGAGGTTTCTTCCTGTTTAAAGAGAGTTTTTCCTCACCACTGTTGGTGCATGCATGCAAAACACAAGCAAATGTCTAATGTAGCCACATGCTCAGCTGGGTGAAACAAATCCTTCAAATCGGTGACTCGATGCAATCAACTGGGTTTCCTCAAATGGAAAACTTTTAATCAATCTGTCTGGATAATTCGATTGAATTGTCTCTGTAAAAACCCTTGAGATGATGTGTTGAGAATTGTGGTATTACAAATAAATAGAATTTAACTGATTTGAATAAGCAAATGTTATAGTTAAGAAAAAAAAATATATATATATATAATTCAGCTGGATCTGTAATAACTGAACGTGAAATCACAATGAGTCCATGTGATCTCTGTCTGTCTCAGTGGAGCTGAGTAAGTCGCTGCCATATCTTCCTGTGTTAGGAAAAGGCTTATGAGTGGAGGCAGGACATGTTCCACCCGGATGATTTATGATTTTTTTTTTAGCAAACTGTTGCATAAAGAACAGTGTTGTTGGAGACCATCTCTAACAACCACTTAAAGCTAACTGCTGCTCTTCTGAGTGTTGTGTGGATTTTAGGTATTTATTGTGTGGTCTTTACTTTAATCTCTCTAATTCCTCTGTAGAAAAAAGTCAATTTATCTTGTCAGTGTTGCTGTCAGACATAGAGACGGACATTCAGTGTATTAAGCAAAAAGTCACAGTTAATGTGAAGAAAACTGTTTAGCTTAAATAAGAACATACATGGCATGAAATTTTTTTTTCCACACTGAACAGATTTTCCCCTCTAATCTGAGTGTAAGCAGTGGATGTTTAATGCATATTTCAGCAAGCCAAGGCAAGGTGCTTCAGAATTACCACTTTACTCGAAGGCCCCAGGGCCTTGGAGTTGACTTTGAAATCAAGAGAATATGTTTGAGAGTAGGAATGTGCAGCAAGCTTTCACCTCCAGGTATTTATCTTCTAAGGTGGGGTGGACTAGAGAAGGAGGTGGTGGGAGGGCGGCGGGTGCAGCCAGGCTATGTCATGGCAGGTCGAGAGAAGGCAGACATGAACCCACCTTAACACTAATCAGCAACCCTATAGACTACTCTGGGCACGGAGGCTGTCTGAAAACCATTTGAAAACACATTTTGCAGCAGAACATCCCACCTCAACTGAAACTGAAGTAATGGCTTTCAGAAATGTGGCATTGTTTTTTTTTTGGTTATTTAAGTTTGGACCAATGTGAAAAAAATGCTGAAGTTTTGCATAACAATTATAGTCAGATATTTGTTTATTTTAGTTGGAAAATCTCAACCAATCAGATCCTGTGTTTATCTGGCTCTGTTTAGCTCCTGTAATTGCTTTCTCCAAAATCCAAATTTAACCTCTCAGATTTTTACACTTGCAGCATGATTTTAACTGTGACGGAGTGGAAACCTGCCTCTAGGTATTTTTTTTATCTGTTTCAAAGTGGGTAATGGAAAAAAAAAATTATCAAAAGAAATAAATACGAAAAAAAAAAAGATGTTCCTTTGATAAAAAAGTTAAACATGTTGGAAGATAGGAATGATAGGGTCTTGTTTTTTTTCCATCTGTCTGCCCATTGGCACCAGTGCTATATCAGGATTTCCTTCCAGCCGCGTGTGTAATTAGTTTCTCATCAGTCTAAACACCAGGGGACCCATTAATGGAAGTAGTTTAAGGTCCACCCAGTTTCAAAGCGTTGCCAAATATTGGGTGATTTATTGGAAACTGGCCATCTTTGGTTATTTTTGTTCTACTGTACAAAAACTGCTGTGATTGATGGATAGCTTTTAACAAACGTGACATTAGTGCCCTCAGAGCCTGCTGACATAAAAACGAAGAGTGGAAAAAGTTTGGCTCGTGTGGGATTTTTAGTAGAATGTATGCCATTTATAGCCTCAGCTAAAAATGAATAAATGTCCCCTTGTAAGAAGATTTTAGTACAATAACCCAGATAAAACATGACATGGTTTTACACCAGCGAGGCCAGGGTTCAGGAAAAATAAATAAAACAGATTCACCTGAAAATAAGAGACTGACAACAATACAATGGTTTCAATGCTATAACTGTAGTTTTCTTTCACATCAGAGATGAAACATTTTTTTTGGAGACATTTTCCTGTTGTTAGCCCACTTTAAGCTAAATGATCAGCAGTGTTCAGAAACAGGTAGAGGAAGAAAAGCAATGCATTCCTGAATGCCTCAAACCACTGGTCACTTCAGCCCCCCCTGAATAAATTTGATGCCACAACAACTTTTTATGTTTTTCCTTTTTAAAACCTTGCTATATCTTCAATTCCTCAGACAATAAGTTTTTGCCTACCTTAAAATACTTGGTGCACAATGATCTACCCGAATAGCCTTGACATGTAAGCATTTAAAAAAAAAAAATTTGATTCTGCAATTTAGATACATTTCCAAAATATATTAGATGATGTTTTATTTTTTCTGATCATTTTTGGATGTGAGCTGTTAGCCTTTTTGTCTTAGATCTTAAATGTGTGATTATACATGCTTGTCAGCTGGAGTTATGGTACTTGCATAAATGGCTCCCTGTTCAAGCTCTTACTTCTAAGACAGCAATACCTCATATGCCTTTTACATTCATTAAACTTAATTCCCCAATAACCACACATTTACTGTTACTTTGTCAACTTTTTCAAGTGAAGTTTTCAAATCTAATGATATCTTTTAAAATTCTGATATAGTCCAGACTCACAGAAAACATTCAGGATATGGATCTGAGTCAAATTTGCTGAGTAAGACAGAAACTTGAGCATCTTTAGTTCTGTTATTAAAGTGACAGTTGATTCTGCCAACAAACCTCTGCTGTTAGCCAGTTCAAATGCATTACCCCTCAGTGGCTTGATCATTCTAAGTGCTTCCTGTAACACACTGTCATTTAATTTAAATTAGACAGAAAAAAAATCAATATATGCAGAAACATATTTCAAGAACTCTAATCTGTTACATGTCATGCTACTGCAACAGTGATTTTTATTTCAAATTGCAGAAGTAAGTCATTATGTCCAATAAAAAATGAGCTTGACTGTGAATCCTGTTTAGACTTTAAATAAAAGGTTTTATGACTTCTAAACAAGCTACACAGTATAAAATAAGGGATTTCCAATGTTGTCTGCATCATGAAGATACAGGGGAGGTTATGGTTTAGGCTCTAAAACATTGTCATTTCATTTTTTTATGGTGTTGCTGGTGAACATTCTCAGTCATCCAGGTCATAATCATTCCAAAAAAGTTAAAAAAAAACAATCTACTGGACTTTGTTTCCAAGTTTAAGGATGTTTCGCTTCCCAACAAGGAAGCTTTTTCAAGCTTTTTGGACATTTTGATTTGAAAAAGCTTCCTGAATGGGAAGCAAAACATCATCAAAGTGAATTGTCTTTTAAGTTTTTTGAGTTTTTTGATGGTGTTACATGTGGTGTCCAATTCTTGAGCACTTTACTGTTACCCACCATTATAT